GATGCAATCTCCTAGCCAAAGCTTGGGGAGATCGTCTAACGGTTGGCGGACATGTCCCCTCGGACGCACTGCGAGATTCGCGACCACTGAGATCCAATTGCCTTCTGTTGGATGAACGATGTAGGGCAAAAAAGGGAGCTAAATACTGTTTAGCTGACTCGTGGTCTCCCGGCTTGCCTCTGGCGGCTCTCGCGGCAATTATGTGGCCATAAAGATTGGCGGCTTTCTGTCCGTAATAGACCTGGTATTGTCTAAGTCCCTGTCTATAGAACCATAATGACAAGTGGTTGGAGCAATATCTATAGTGATGAACTAGCATACCGTTTTTCAGTGGAAGAACCTCTTGTTGAAAATATCTTTGTCTAGCATAGAAACTTTATAATAAAGGTCACAAGAGCAGTGTGGGCATGTTGCATTACCATGATATGCTCGCATCTGCTGGTTGGTCTTTTTTCTCGACTTCGAAAATGTCGAGGGCTCTGTTGGCCAAGTGCTGCGGCAGGCATCGCTAAAGGATGCAGAAGGGCAGCTGGCTTTGAATCGATGGCTCAAGGCTACATCCCTGTAAAGGGTAAGGTTCAAAATGGCCTATAGGCTCCGAATGCAATACCAAAACGGTTTGCAAAAGGGCAGCACAGGAAATTATTATAGGGAGTGAATGCATATGTCTAAGTGGAGAAGAGACAAAGGGTCTGGAGTGTTCAGCTTTGTTTTTAATGTCAATCTGATTGGGGGCTGTGCCCCTACTGTCAATCTTTGGGTGGCCTTGGCCCCCAATAATGTCAATCTGGTCCTGCTGCCTGCAGGTAATGTCAATCTGTTTCTGCTCAGGGCAGATAATGTCAATCTTGTCCTGCACAAGGCAGGTAATGTCAATCAAGAAGTCTGAGACTTCTGTATTGTCAATCAAATGCAACTTGGTGCACACTAACTGGCAAAGCTTGCCAGGACCAACCAATAAAGTAAGGAGGAGGACAATGTTTCTGAAACAAGCAACCAACACCAAACTCTTCAATAGGGCTGAGAGGATAATGGAACTGTAGCTGCAAAGTTTGCTCAGCAGAAATGTCGATAGTCAGCACACCGATACCTGCATCACCCAAGGATATTTTGCATCTTTGTGTTGTTGGAGAAAGATAGCATATGCACACTGCCACATCAACCAATGTTCTCCCGACTCTGCTAACACTAAAGTAATAGCTTCCATGATGTTGCCCTTGTTCACATGGTTCCTGGACCTAACATGGAGAACCTGATCCTTTGAGAAGGAAAGGAGAGGGAGGACATACTCAAACAGGAGAACGAGCTCATTGTTAGGGGCTTGGAGAATGGATCCGTCCGATTTAAGGAGCCCATGAATAGCTGCAAGCTGCCAATAGACTGCATCGAAGTAGAGGCTACCATATCCTCCTGCAATAGCCGCTCCCTTGTTGGTGTAGGGGGGTTCCCCCAGAATCAATGATCGGAGGATATCATTCTGATCAATATGTGCGCTGAGGTCATCGGCTAGGGTTTGGAAAAGGTCGGTAGTTACTCTAGACAGAGCATTGCTAATGAGCCAAGGGAAGACTTGTGTGGACCACTCTAGCTTAGGGGGGTTCGGAGTCTCTGTAGCCGCGTGGGCGTATGCCAAAAAAAAGGAGGATGCAATAAGCTGATTTTATGGAATAACCGGAGAATGTGCTATGTCAAATGATGCTGCCCAGGTGCCAAGGTCGAAGCGCTTCGACAGAAACGAGCCAGATTTTCTCCATATCTCTCAGAGAAGGGAAGCAAACCAATTTACTGTGTAGAATGTAGCAATAAGAACTTGGTCATCAAGGGGACCATAATTGATGATGAGGTCCTCTGTGGTGATATCCCATGCAGGGAGAGCCCAAGGAATCTTTGTGGTTTTAGGGAGAGGGAGCAAAGATTGCGTTTCCGGGTCATTGAGTTTAGTCATCCAGGAGGCTGCCCATTGTTCTGAGGTAAAATCATCCGGGGAGGTTTTGCCAAAGTAGGCTGCCATTGTCTCAAAAAAGGAGTCCGTTGTAACTGCTGCGATGTCCAAAACATCCATGTCATAGAGAGTGCGATCAAGCTGGAGCAACTGACACTTCCTAAAAGGAGGTAGTGTGGGCCAATTTTGCTGTACCTTCCAGGAGGACCAATACTGCCTATGTTCTTTGCAAAGGGAGCAGTCTTTATTGATACCCAAAGGGGCTGCGCAGATAGTGCCATACTGGGGCAGAGGATCTGGTATCAAATCCTGGTGGGATCGGGTGCTTGGAGCAATCATGACAGTTATAGTTGTAACCTAGAGCACATGTACAGGCCAGGCAGATTCTAACTTGCTGGACCAGGGCATTGTTCTTCCAACCCTTGTTGTTACCTTTGGGAGGTCGATTCTTTCCTTGGGAGCCGCCTTGCTGATGTGGGGAGGACCAATTAGAATAGTTCTGCGTGTAATGGGACCACTTTTTGCCCCAACTGTCATAATCATTATCATCTTGATTCTTCCAGTCGGTTCTATGGTCATGATCTCTTTCTTTGTTTCTGCCCTTGGGGCCTGGGGAGCTTCCTTTCTTTCCTTTGGAGTTCTTGGTTTTGCCCTTGGAGGATTTTCCAGAACCTTTGGAGGATCTTGGTTTAGGGGCTGCACCCTTTCCAAACTCTTCGGGGTTAATACCATAATCTTGGAAGGCCTGGGTTGTGAGGGGGAGCAGTCCTCCTGCACCCTGAAATGGCAACATGGGGTGAGACTCCAACAATTGTCCTAGAGGTTCACTCATCTTCACTGGAAAAATTAGGTATGGAAAACATGCAAGGTGAGACGGAGTGTTGGCAAGATCAAAGGCCTTATCAGCAGAGGAGCGGGACGTTGTAGTTCGATCGGTGATCGCCCGTTTAAGGGCCTGAATCAGCACCATGGTGGAGCGCATGCGTTGAGAAAAAGCGCTGTGCCACTGCTGGAGAACGGCGTCATAGTGCTTCTCGGCGATGAGGACCAAGCAGCTGTAGCGTCGAGGGAACCTCGGGTCGAGGACATAGCTAACCTGAGCAAGGAGCTGCTGCTGCGGCTGATCTTTCGCCGTCCAGATCTGCAGCGTTTGCTTCCATGTCTGTAACTCCGCCGTGGGCTCCAGTCGCCCAAGGATATCCAGTAGAGCAAAGTACGGTTGGCTGGCGATTCTGTCGTCTGTGGGCTGGTCAATCTCCACCTTGACCCTAGTATCAGAGGCGTTTGGAACTTTCCAGTATTTTTTGCTATTGCGCATGGAGGTCTGAAACTGTCTGGCATAATTCTCAGTTGTAAACTCAATTCTCACAGTAGAAGAAGTGGAGGTCACCAAGTGGTTGTGCAGGGCAGCCACTGATTCTTGGCTAAGGCCAGCTCCATACAGAAAATGATTGATATTGCTTTCCAACACAGCCTTTGAAGTAAATGGAGGGAGATCATGCAGGAGGAGAGTCTTGTTGGCTCGACTTTGCTCCAAGGACTGTACCTGAGCAGAGAGCTTCTCATTGTAGAACTGCTGCATAGCTGTTTCCGTGGCAACCTGGTTGTAGAAGAGATCACACTGTTCAAGCAACTTGGTCATGTTGGGGAGGACACTTCCTGTATGATATGTGAGCATAGCTTCCCGAACTGTGGGCTCCAGTGAATCATCAATATTCGTGTCGGAGGTCGCACTGGCAAAATCCCGCTTACGGGCTGGCGAATCCTCCTGAAAACAACCTGTGGCGGGGTCGTACTTGTGGAGGTCGACTCGTCGATGTATGACTAGGAAATCCTTTCTGGCCTGCTGACTGTGTCGGAGGTGCTGTCGCAGCGAAGGGTCCAGTTCCGTATAATCAACTCCTAATCCTTGGAGGGCTCCAGCAAACTCTGGGTCAATATCGGTGATGCTCTGTGAATCTTCTTCAGTCTTCTGCTTCTTAAGTGGAGAGGTTGGAGGACTCGGCTTGTGACTTTTTCCAAGCTTTGAATTGCTCAAACTCTTCCAGTTCTTCTTTCGTCATGGGGCTGTCCTGAGACAGCTCTTGTTTGGCCATGGCGGCATAGGCTGGGCTAGAATGAAGGGGCCACTGTGCCTTGTGCCAAAAAGCCTACCCTAAAACCTAACCCTAGTAATTGTTCTTCTTAGTAAATTTGTCGGAGGGGAGGAATGTCCTTGATCTTCCTTGCGTGAGTTGGAACCATGTTAGGTTCAGGGTTTAGGGTGTGGGTAGGAACCCCTGTATGTTGCATTCGGAGCTGCATCCTGTCATCCTGCCCTCGAGGGCCCAGTAGCTGTCTAAATTCAGGAAGATGCCTGAACTATGCCCCTAAACCCCGAACCCTAAACCCAATGCCAGTGAAGAAGATACCCCACGCGCCACTCGGAATCCTAATCTCATTCAAGGTATACGTTAATGGAAAAGAAATTGGACTCTACAACTTAGGGTTTAGGGTCTTGGGTTTAGGGAAATAAAATGGAAACTACTATAGTATATTGGGGTTATATAGGGATAATGGAAAAGAAAAAGGCAACCAATACAGTATAATAAGGTATATAGGGAGGATATTGGCCGAGGCTTGATATGCTAAATCATTCCCCCTTTACAATAACAGCCGCCTAATAGAGCTGGATTGTACGAAAGGCCTCCGTCGAGGTGTTTCGCATGGGCATCACCAGCTGCATGCCCATCTCCTGCAAGACAGAAAGCATGCAGCACCTTTTCCTTCGTTTGCACAAAACTGCTTGCAGACCTTGCATGCATGAACCCTTTGTGCTGGAAGAACACGTGAATGCAAAGTCTCATCTCCAAAAGAAAGGTAGCATAGACAAATGGGAGTAGAAGCTCCTCCTGTAATACCCGAATCCTTGACTTGCATTTGTCACTTGAAACCCTAAACCCTGAACCCCAAAACCCCAAAACCCTAAACCCTAAACCCTAAACAAAAAGCACTTGGACTACAAAGAAAGAGGGTCTGCCTTCTGCAATCCACAGGAGACCTCCAAAAGTCCATGTGCAAACATCACATATCTCCCGGATGCTAGAAACCTTTAGGGTTTGAGGTTTAGGGTTTAGGATTTGTCAAGACAGAAGAAGTCTTGGAATACTCTGTGTCCTGTGTGAAATTCTCTGCAGATGACTATACTGGTATCTACATGGTAGCTTCCCAAAATCTGGGGATCCCAATACAGACCCCATAATCCATAATCCTCAGATTGGAACCCCCAATATGTTACCCAAAAAATTTGGAAACCCTCTATCCTATATATGGTAACCCTAATTTTGGGAAACAAATCCTCTGGAAAGGGCACGCCTGGAGCTGTCGAATGAATGGGCCTATTCGCGGATCCCCCAGAGCTATGTGGACGCCTGGTGGGAGATCACATAAGGGTTCTGCAACTAGTAGGCTTTAGGGTTACGGTTTACGTTTAGGGCTTCTCTTTAGACTTATGAACCCTAAACCCAAAAACATATTACGAAACAGTAGCTTTACCGGAAGCTGTACGTGATCATAGCTTGGGTGTTTCCCGCTGCGATTGTCCAAAACACTACTACTCGCACTTCACCACACGATGCAACGAAAAAAGTTTCTGAAGACCATTGTGCTTTCAGAATCTACATGGGATTCCGTTCTTGGTTTGGAACGGGATAGGTGTGGCAGTCCCAGTGGCCAAGGGGCTCCGACAATCAACAAAACCTTCAATCAACATGTCTGCAAGCAATGCAAGGATGCCAACAACGGCTACAACTGAGCATCGATGCGAAGAGGGGTTTCACACCATCCGCTCCAGTATGACACTCCAAGAAGACGACGAAGATCCAGCCCCAAATCTCGTCACTTCTTCCGAGTATGGTGCCTTCCAATAACAGTACGGCCTCTAACCATTAGAGTACCCACCAACGGGCCATAATTTAATAGCCCTCCATGTGAACCAACCCTACCCACACATTTGCACAAGCTATGCCCAAGGTATACGTCATTCACAAGAACCTACATTTTCCCCATGTAGACTTAAGGCTTCAAGATTGGTGTTCAGGGTTTAGGCTCTGCATCAGGCAAACATGCATCAAAGGTGCGATCGTAAAGGAAGACGAATCCCCCTGTAGATGCTTATTCATACATCAGCGATTCCCACTGTAGACGCTCTAGTCGGCCAGTCTTCCGGAACCACCTAAATTCTACGCCTAATGCCGCATGAGCACCCTGTTTGGATGTCAAAACGCACAAAGAAAGCTGCATACAAACGCTGCTTAGTCGGTCTCTGTATGACCTTTTGCTTCATACTAAGAAGCAGATGGCCTATCTTCGACATGGCTTCGAGAAGTAGATGCGCTGTGGATGCAATTAACAATATCAGCTGATGTGCGACCAACCCACGCCTCGTACTTAGCCAATGATCCCCAGAACAGCTGGCTAGATAGGCGGCACACTAGTGCCACCTGCAACAATGGTCCACAGAACATCTATATAAGCAAATAGCAGAACATTGGTGTTAGCTGTAACAGTAACTAAACAGGACCAAAGGATACTGCCTGGTTACAACCGCCCTGGCCCTAGGTTTAGGGTTTAGGGTCCCAAAACCATGAATCACATGAGAATCTGAGTTTCCATATCATGTTCCATTTGATTTTCACTATTGATGCAATAATATCCCTGCTCCGGACATAATCCCTCGAAAAACCCTACACAAACCCTATGTATCACCATGTACCCCTATGTTTCCCCATAATTTTCCTAGAATCCCTAAACCCTAAATCCCTAACTCCCTGAGTCCCTGAACTATTGGGGCTTCAGATCCTAAACCCTAAACCCTCTGAACAGCCTTGAAAGGCAACTTCCAGGCTTGCGGACAGGAGGTCCTTGCGGACTGAAACCACCCAGGTTTACTTACTGGTGGTTAGTAGGGAAGAAGGCAGTTACATGATAATAGGGTTTAGGTTTAGGATGTATTGTCCATGGCTTTGGGTTTTATTGCTTAGGGTTTAGGGTTGATTGCTGTGCGGGGCGAACAACTTTCTGTTTTCTTTCTTATGCCTCTTTCGGGGCTTAGGGCATAAGGTTCGGGGTTTAGCTTTCTTTTCGTTTTTGGTTCGTAAGGTTCAGGGCTTGGGTCCCCATAGAGCCCAATACACTTGAATTTCAATGGAAGGCGAGACCTGTCAAGACTGGACAATGAAATGGATAGCAAAATGAGCTTTAATCTAAACTCCTAGTATTACCCTTTATAACCCTAGGGTTTAGGACCTAGCGTCCAGGGTTTAGGGTCTCGACTCCTAGCATAGCATCCCCCACAATAAGCCCCTATAATGCTCCCCTATAGAAGCCCCTACATAACCCCCTTCAAGAGTTTTGACTACAGTTCATAAGCAAAAGGAAGTGGACGCTGGGTTCATGTAAAGGGGGCTCATATGGATAGAAGGCCTGAAGTAGGGGAAAGGCCCTAAACGATACTAGGACTCCTCAGATCAATAGGGTATACCCTAAACCCTAAAACCCTAAACCCCTAAACCCTAAACCCCTAGACCCCTAGACCCTAGACATGTTCCTTCATCACGGGGTATTGGGTCACCATGAAGTTTTCGGTGGCCACGAAAGATCTGCAACTCTTCACCCGAGACAACAAACCCTCAATCCTGAACCCTCACGCTTTGAATATACACCCTACACACGAAAGCGTCAACCCTGAATCCTAAACTCAAAACCCCAAACCCTGAATCCTACAATCTAAACCTAAACCCTAAACCCTTTCTTTATTGGGGCTCTCAATCGGGAGCGCCGGCTGCAGCCTTGAACTTCTTCGCCACGATCAGCTTCAAGGAGCTGGCCGGAACAAAGGCCTGGCCATCAGCGGCAATCATTCGAATACATTTAGACTGTAGAAAGAGGGATATATAGGGATCTATGGGGATGCAGAGATAGTGTTCAGGCTTTAGGGAAATGGATTTAGGGTTAGGGTTGTTTTGTTTAAAGCGCCAATTTTCGCCGCGGGGCAAGAACAATCTCGTCGGTTTCCAAAGGAACCCAGTCCGTGCTTGAAGCTGACACTTGATTGCAGCCAGGCGACGTTGCTGGGGACCAGATGCCTGATCCAAATCTAACCCAAGTCCTTTCTTCGTCGCACCACTCATCCTCCGCCAAGTGGGCCTTATCCCTATATAGCCCTACCTTACCCAATATTATCCCAACAATACCCCATCTTATCCCTGTATTATCCTATATTACCCTATATTATCCCCATATAGCTGCTTCGTTTTCCAGAAGATTCCTTTCCATGTCGACTGCCTCTTCCACCTCCTGCTGCTCCGTCCCCTCATCCTCCCCTCCTCCTCCTCCATGAAGAATTTTTATAGGCTCAGCGTAGGATGAAAGCTCAGGGTTCAGGGCTTCGGGGCTTAGGTGGAGAGGATAGTCCAAAATGGACAAGATAGTGAAAAATGACACTGAAACCGGATTTGAATTCGGGTAAGGATGGAATGTGGGGGCCTAATAACTGCTATTCTGAATATGTAAGGATCGCACGCAAACAATTCAAGTGATTACTCAAGCTTCGCAATGCTCCAGGCATCATTGTGCAGGATGAGAGAATACGATGGGAAGGCTAGGAGTCCTATTCAAACAACTTGCTATTGCTCGCTCCCCAGACTACCTCAGGTTAAGGTACTATCAGAAATAGGTGTTGATGTTGGGTTGTTGAAACAATGAGGGTTATAGTAGGTTTGGGCCTACAGTGGCGTCTAAACCCTCAACCCTAAACCGGTCCCCTTGTGTACGGAGACTGCCATTTTTGAGCTATGGTGTAAACTCCTAGTATCCCCCTTAATAATTCCTATAAGAATCCCCTACAAATACTCCTAGAAAACCCTATAAAATCTCCTATATTACCCCCTTTAAGAAGTTGAGACTATAGCTCATTTGGACGGCGCCTTGCCCTTCTTCAGTACCACACGTCTCCCCGCGATGAACGCGGGAGGAACCTGCCAGATGACATGCTCGTGTTTAAGGTTTACGGTTTAGGGTTTAGATTTTACAGTTTCGAGTTTAGAGTTTAGGGTTTAGAGGGTTTAGGGTTTAGAGTTTAGGGTTGAAAGGGATTAGGGTTTAGAGTTTAGGGTTTAGAGTTCAGGGTTCAGGGTTTTGAGTTTAGGGTTTAAAGGGATTAGGGTTCAGAGTCTAGGGTTTAGAGGGATTAGAGTTTAGGGCTTCTTAGGGGTTGAGGGTTTAGGGGTTTCAGGTTTAGGGGTTTAGGGTTAAGGCCAAAACGACAATCGTAGTATCCATTCTTAAAACTGGCACAGTGACCACGAGATTTGTCACCTAAATCCCTAAGCCAATAACCTGAAACTCATAAATCAACAAGCCATGAGCCCCCAAACGCAGAAAAAACCCCAGACCCGTACAGATATACCTACTTCTAAACGTTGCCTGGAATAATCATGCTCCTTCCTGTCGCTTCTTTTGGGACATAGGTTTTGATTTTACGGGACCTTTTCTCCGAGGCACGAGTCCTTCGAAATGCTGTAAGTAGGTTTAGGGGGGCAGAGTTCAAGGCTAGGTGTAGGCATTAGTGTTTAGGAGTTATGGGCCAATCGTCCTTGTTTGATGACTGCGGCTGCACACACTTGGAATATGGAGGCTTCTCGGCTTCTCAAACAAGAGCGACGAATGGGGACCCCTGGGATGCGTTATAGGGATTGCCAAAGGGACTATTTGGGTTCCTACCCACGATTCTAGAAAGGGATTTGCTATAAACTCCCATATCCCTTGCACACTCCTTACATAGCAGAACCGGTGCACATTCTCGATGAAATCTGCCAACATTCCCCCTAGCACAAAATCCCACCTGGGTGAATGGCATCTCGTAGAAGTTGCGCTCGAATTCCGGGCGCCTTATGACGGCCAGAGCTGGTGAGGTGTAAGGTTCAGGGACCGAGGGCTTCATCATCCCATACAACCTGGGAGTGACGCCTGCACAAAGCTTAAGCTGAGACATCGGGACAGGGGGTGTGGGTTTTTGACTTGACGGGATTAGGGCTTGAGTCTTGAGGCCTAGAATTCAAGGGAGCAGAGCTAGAATTCACACAGAATCGGAATAAGCATGCAGATTTTTCAAGCAGTTGCAAAGGCACAGCAAATTACCTGCAGAGATGTTAGCCCCTCCTGGCTTTTATTTGTGTATGGAACTGGACACCCAATATATATGCCCACCAATATTCGTCAGGTTTCTTAAATACACAACCTAAGCACAAAAACCAGAAAATGCAATCTTACTTATTTCACCTACTGGGGCAGGTAGATGCAGGTAATCCTCACGATCTGTGCAGGTACTTCCATTACACATACCCCCAGATACAAAAATCATGATGGCACAGATTCCCAGAAAACACCCGCAATGACAGGAACCTCAAGCCCACCCTGAAGGCCCTAGATGCCCTTGAAAGGAATTCATTACACCCAGTAATAGTGACTATAGGGAATAATAGGGATTATATTGGGGTCCTCTTATGTTCCCATTATACCACTGTTGCAGGGTGGGGGGTCCTCCTATGGAATTCAATTCGTAGCCCACACGCGCCAACAAGCATCCAAGGCCATACTCATGAAGTGCATAGGTATATGTAGGGTGTAAGGTTTTGAGCATGATATGGGGGAATCCTTCTGGTACCCTCATCTACGATAGCTGCTGTTCTAGAAACTCTACTAAACCCTACACCCCAAAACGGGTGACCCTAAGCTTAAACCCTAAAGCCCCCAAAGGAGGACCCTAAACCCCAAAAAAGAGGCCCTAAACAATAAACACCACGAAAGAATGGACCCTAGACCACCCAAAAAAGGGCCCCTCAACCTAACCCCCCTCCCCCCCCCAAAAAAAAAACATTCAACCCAAAACCTTAAACCCCAAACCCTAAGCCCCAAACCCTAAACCCTCAACCTGTGTCTGGGAAAACTCTGAGAAGCTGACCCATCTCGCCAGGTCTTGGCCTCAGGCTGCAGGGATCTTTTTTGTGCTTGGGGTTTTGGGTTTAAGGCTTTGGGTTTTTTTGCTAACGCCGGGCGCGCATGTTGCTAGCGTGCATTGGCGCAGTCCCAGAAGCTCTCAGTGCTCTTGATATACCCGCGTATACCGTGTTATCACCAAGTATGCTTCTACCCGAGTTTTGGTCCCATTCAGCTTTAAACTTTAAAGTGTCGCTTAGTGGTTACTTCGATCCAATAGGGAATCTTACCCCCCCTACGTCTGCCCGTAGTTTTGATCCTATCTTTGTATCCCGTGTTGAAAACTACGTTCTTTAGGGGGTCGTGGTCTGAGGCAAGGAACACTTGTTCAAGGAGTTTGTGGTTTTTGGAGGAGGAAGTCAGAGGGTTTCTTTGGGTAACGGGCTCTACGCCATACTTCGTTGTTGGTAATTCTGGAGTAGAACGAGGCCTTAATGCCTACAATGCGCCGTAAAAACCTGATATAGAAAGCATCAATACGCTTAAGGAATTTGTCCTGCAGGGTACGGGTCTCGAGGCCGTAGATTAGGGTTGATAGGAACACCGACTGAAAGATCCTAAGTTTGGATTTACGTGAGAGGGAACTGTTCCAAAGTAGCCGTAGCTTTTTGTAAGAGGATTCTGCGATACCTGCTCTATGTTTAAAGGCTGTGTCGAAGCCCTTATCCCAACTTATTAGGCTGCCTAAATATTTGACGTGCGTTCTGGTCTGTACTAGCTCCCCGTTCTTGAAGCGGACTTTAGGGGGGAATTTGCGGGGGTCGTGTAGCACTTCCGTTTTAGTTTGGTTGAGATGCATGCCGTACATCTCCGCTTGTACCTCGATGGTGTGGAGCAAGTGCTCCATTTGCGTTGTGGTCAACGAGATTAGGAGAGTATCGTCGGCATACTCCAGGTCGTACGTAGGGCGGCCTACTGACCATGTATTAGTGGCTATGCCTTGACTGAGAAGCGACATGTCTACGTCCTCTACAAGTACCGTCAAGACTCAAGACCATGATGAATAAATAGGGGCTCTTTGGGTTTTGGGTTTTTAAGCTGTCACCAGGTTCAGTGGTAGGGTCTTTACAACACTACAATTCATAAGAATCATTGGGGTTACCAACATGAGCTCAGATGAATCCCCAAACAAACTCCAAAATCTCTTTTCTATATAACTTAACGCCTTTTTCAGTTCATTGTTCCATGTGTTTATCCATTATGCCCAAACGCTTTACCCCAAACACTTCCGAAATTGGGTAGTTTCCGCTGTCCTCTTCATTCCCGTATACTCCTTTCCAGCAGGTGTCGCGATTATGCTTACAAAGCCATCAGCATGATCTAACAAGTGCAGAAATCATGGTCCATTGTTCCGGTTCACTGTTCAGTGAAGTGTAGGACTAAGTATCACTTGACCACTTTTGACAACCAAAACCAATGGCGAGGACCATCTGCAGCCCAGCCACACCAGCCGTGCATTTCTGCAGCATGGACAAGGACGGCCCGGGCCCATCTCGCTGTTCCTCGAACCTAGCATCTTTTCAGACGATTCCCGATTTGACCCCTCAGAACCCCGTACATAACACGCTATATACCCCTACACCCTATATGAACCTACACCCTTGCCAGTCATCTCTTCGTCTTCCTTGTTGAATGCATCAAAACCCCAACATACCGCAACCTGCATCCTCAACCCCTGTCCCTAGGCTTTAGGGTAAGGGTTTAGGGTTTAGGGCTTATGGTTTAGACAGTTTGAGGTTACACCGCACTGAACTCAAATCCCCAAACCCTAGTAGACCCTTAGCCCTAAACAGCAGCTTCCATTTTCGTTTCCATTCCCTTATGCATGCCCATAAAATCCTATATGCCCCAAGATATCTCCATATGATCCCGGTATACCCCTATATCACCCCATATACCCCTACATATTCTATGCCTAAACTCCCCTAAACCCTAAACCGTGTATTATATAACCCTGTGCCCTCAGGTGTCGGACAGGCGCCTCTGCACTTGGAGGCCGGCAGACTCCAAGAACGCCTGGGCAGAAGTAGTTTAGGATCTAGCGTCTATATCTTATTAGGGGGTTATGTCGAGATATATGTATATATATATAT